CGAGGAGGGTCGTGAGACGGTGTTGTCCGCCGTGTTGGTCTTCACTCGAGGGAAGTTGGGTCCCAGCAGCGCCAACAGCTTGGCTTCGTCGTGCAGGTGCGCGATCACGAACCCATAGAACACCAATGCTCGCCTGGGGTCCCGATCGTCAGGCAACGTAGGCCTCCAAATACGAAAAGACGTACCTGATGAAGTTGGGGTTGGCCTTAATGATGGCTTGGGCGGTGAATCCAGCATGCTGCTCTGCGCACTGTAGGAAGCCATCCAGCTCGCTCGAGAACTGGAGCTTCAAGGCGTGTAGAGCTTGTTCAATCGTTTCGAGCGAACTGCAACGCCACCGTGCAGATCGGTCAGGAGTGCTGCAGCGTTGAAGCACTACAGGAATTGGTCGTACCTTGGGGAGTTGAAGATGACCTTGAGAAGCACCGTAATCGCAGCTGAGAACGGCTCGCCTTCGCCTTCTCGTGCTGCCGGGTAGCGTACGGGGTAGCGTACAAGTGTGAGGATTTGTAGCAGGACATCGAGCACATGGTGGTCCTTGCTCGCGAAGCGCTCCCAAACTTCAGCAACCTCTTCATCGGTTGGTGCAAACGGCAGCAATTCTACAAGGAGATTAGAGGTCGAGGATGCAAACGTAGCAACACTTCCAGCCCGGCCCGTACCTCCTGGGCCATTTCCCAGCGCCTCGCGGCTCTTGAGTGAGACAAGCATCGTAATGATGCGCTTACGGAAGGCTTTCAGCATGACCGATCACTAATGCAGACAACTACGCCTGGTGATTTCGGCCCTTCGTCGCCATCTTGTGTTTGCCTGCGTTGCTCTTTTTCTGGTTTTTTCTTTTGTACTTTTCTTTTCTTCTCAATTACTTAATTAATGGTTGCTGCACTGCGAGCAGACGGCGCACACCACAACACCAACGAGACGAAAGGAGCAAGATGGCGGACAAGAGAGCATTGTTTGAGGCAAAGATCAACGAGGCGGGCAAGGGGCCAGGGTTCGAGCGAGTGGACCATGGACCCAACTTCAAGCCCGGCTGGAAGGCCAACGGCAACTCTGGCGGTGGCCACACTGGTACCACCTCGTCCCCCCTTACATCAATCAATATCACTGACCATAGCTGTGCACAGCGCACGACGGCAAGTTCAAGAAGCAGACAAAGCGCGTCGAGACCAAGTTTGAGTACCTATTGCCCACCTTTACTTGACCTTCAGTGAGGTTGATGCATGGACTAATCCGCGTCGTTGATTGACCCCACAGCCAACCGCCGCCTCCCAAGAAGAGCCTGACCGACTTGCCCTGACGCTCCCGTCTGGTGGTCCACCAGGTTCTCCTTCCTTTTTCTCAAAAAAGAGAAGTTGTACAGAAGGCGGAAGGGAAATCGATGTGTGAAACCGATCGGTTTTGGCTTGGATAATAAAGGTCGCACGTCCCTCTTTCGGTCCTTGTCTTTGGCCTTTTCTTGTTTTCTCAAGCAAGCTTGCCACACAGTTGTTATGGCGTGAAACCGGGGCAAGAAGGTCGAAAGCAGCAAATGTAACACAAAAAGCGAAAGTCGAACTAAAGAACGAAAGCGAAAGCGAAAGAGGCGGTTCAGCCTCTTGCTCCTCAAGCGCCAGGGAAGCCAGGAACTGAGATTCTCGTCGACGCCTGCCTTGCCGGTCCTACCCGACAACGTCAGGGACACGCTACTGACACTGCAGACGACGACATCAACGTCGACCGGGCAGCGTCGAGGATCGGCCTTGTTCGGCCGCCCACGCAGCGGCAGCGGCAGGTGGACCTCGAGAAGGCCGAGGAGGAGAGCAGGCAGCAGGATAAGAGGCCGCTGCGCGTGAGCAACAGCGTGCCCGAGCAGTTGCGCAAGCGGAATCGGGTGATAAACGAGATCACCAGCACTTAGCAGGACTACATCAACTGCCTCGAAGTCATGACCGAGTCTTCAGGTAACGCAGGTCCCTCAATGAGTGCTTGACCCAGTTGCAGCATGTTGTCTTATTGGTGCTGCTGTGTGGCCCCTGTGGCATGCGTGTAGCAATCCGATGCTGGAGGAGGTGGCGAGCAAGGAGGTGGATGGAGCTCCTCCATCGGGTACGCTGAGCCCTCGCGTGGTCGGCTTCAACGTGATCTAAACTCTGACTGCCGGTATCTAATGTTGTTGTGAGCATAGAACTCTTCGGGGGCGGGCTGTCCATTCGTGAGTAGCAAAAGGTCGGAGAAGAGGAAGTAGTGCCGCGGGAAGAAGTCAGGCCGGTCCTGCTTTGAGTAGCTTTGCCCTTCTCGCCGGAGGTGAAGCGCAGGTGGGTCCACGAGCACCATGCGCCAAGAGCACTGCGTAACCACCCTCGCAACACCAGCGGAGAAGCATGCGAGAAGGAAGGGTTCTGTCATGAGATGTCAGGAATCGACGGGTTACACGGCCTGGATCTGGGGCCGCCATTGGTAGGAGTAACAGCTGCCAAGCAACACAGCTCGCTCACAGAACTGGTGGGAACTTTGCGCACTGTTCATGTCCTCCCTGCTACCCCCCCCCCTACAAAAGCCAACGAGATGAGACAAAGATAATCACGCCAGCTACCACCCACAGCCAACTCCACAACCACCCCAGACGAGCTCGTCCCCACCACCTTCTCTCAACTCCAGTCATCCATACGACTTTCTTGAACCCACGGCCAACTGCTCTCCAACCTTGAGTGCCCTCTCGGCTCGACCAGCCGCCACCAACAACCACAACCACAATCATCCGAACCCGACAAGCCAGAGGAAACCACACAATCGAATGGCGCTGGAGAGCTCGCGCAGAGTGGCGACAAAGAGGAACGGGAGCCGGTTCAACCTCCCAACGTTCCTGCACAAGTCCTCCTCGTTCGAATTGGCGCCAGACACAGACTGCGACTCCCCCGTCTTTCCCGCGCCTCGGTTCACATCTCCTTTGCGCCAGCCCCAGCAGATCATCGAGGAAGAAGAGGACGAGGACGGCTGCTGGTTGCCCGAGTTGGCCGAGCCGGAGGAGGTCAAGCTGTTCAGGAGCCAGGAGGTCATGCTGGCCAAGGGCGCCCAGGTGGTGGAGGAGAGTGGGGAGAAGGAGCGCAGCCGATCGTTCGACGTTGTGGACCTCCTGAGCTCGCCCAGACACAAGCTCGCAGAGGCAGCCCAGCTGCCCAGGAGGCTGTCTCTCACCTACGGCCCCGGCGAACTGAGCAAGGCGCTACAGGCGCTGATGAGCCTCCAAAGCGACGGCGATGGAGACAGCAGCGAGGGCGAGGATTGTGTGAAGAAGGAGAAGAGGAGGTCAAAGAAGGCGCCATCACAACCCAGGCGGAGCTTCCTGTCCCTGCTTCGGCGCAGGGCAGCAAGCGACAAGGGCACCCACTAGGGGTTGTACAATATATCAAAAACACATCTTCTTCTACTTCACGTGGTGTTCCTCTCCAGCTTCTCTTGTTTTGCCTCTCGGAAGAAACACCTGGATGCACCCGCTTCTCCTGATTTAGACCTGCACCGTATCTGGGCCTGCCGGTGAACCGTTGCTAGAGAACCTGATTGGTTGGAATTATCTCCGTTTCCAGGCAACGCATGGTGAGCAAGCTCCTTGCGTGCTGTGGGGTCCATCTGGGGGCAAAACACCCAAGCCAAACTAGAAGCACCTGATGGCCACCACCAGCAAGGCACGGTCCTCGGGCGCGGTCCCCACCAGGAGGTCCCGACGCTTCAGCTGGAACTTCGCCCGGCCATCGCCTTCGTTCGACCTCGACCCGTCGGCCTACAAGGACTCGCCCATCTTCATCGCCCCACGCACTCCACCTGCAGAGCCAAAGGTCGACGACTCGCCCAGTGCCTCGTCCTGCTCGCAACCCACGACCTACCAGTCGCCAAGGAGAGTGGCCCTGCGCCGCCGAGCCACGGTGGCCATTGGGGCCGCAGAGCTGCAGGGTCGACTGAGCGACATGAGCCTCGAGTCCATCGCGGAGGAGGAGGAAGGCGAGGCGAGACAAGAGGCCAAGAGGGAAGAGGCCGACGACTTGGACCAGAGCCCCCCGCCGCCCCCACCTGAGAAGAAGAAGGACAAGAAGCTGAGCAGGATGTTCCCTCTCCTGCGAAGGCATAACACAAAAGGCTAAGTCTTGCCGTGCACACGTATGCACTGTTCAATAGACTGTTTTTTGAGGCCGGTAGCGACCTAAAGCTGACGTCAGCGGCCTGCCGTCGCCTTTGGCACTCGGATAAATCCGGGAGCTGTCTGACCGTTGGCGAATCAGCCACTGGGACAACTGCAGAATGAAAGTGGGGCAAAAAAAAGATTAAAATTAGTTTTTATCAACACCTCTGCAGCATCATGGCTCACAACCAAGGTACCAGGCTTCAACAAGCTAATCTTACTTGCCTTTTTTTTTTAAGTTGCTGTTCTTTCGTTCGCCCATGACTTCATCATTTCATTTCATTTCATTTCATCTCTTCCCCCCCCCAATATCTTTCTCTTACTGATGGCGGCGGTGGTGCAGGAACGGCGGTGCCTGGAACGCACTACACGGCGGAGGAGCTGACGGGAACCACTCAGGCGGTGCGTTCGTATGCGGCGTCGGCGCCCCAGGCCGAGAAGGAGAAGAAGTACGGGCAGCAGGAGTGGGGCCTGTTCGAGACCAACTACCAGCGCAACAAGGGCATCACCACCGACGACTCCCTAAAGGAGATCGAGGTCTTCTTCCCCCCTCTCTCTCTCTCCCTGTCAGCACCACCACCCAACGCTAGTGCTGACACACTACACTTCCCACTCGCAGGACTTCTCGAAGCACGGAGTCGTGCCTGGTGGTGGCGTACTTGGCGGCGGTGGCGGCCGTGGAGCCAGCGGCGGCGGCGGCGGTGGCTTCGGTAGCGCTGGCGGCGGCGGCGGCGGTGGTGGCTTCGGCGCTGGCGGTGCTGGCGGCGGCGGCTTCGGTAGCGCAGGCGGTGCTGGTGCCCAGGGCTCGCTTCCCTTCGGTCCCGGTGGCGACGCTGGCGCGGCCTTCTTCTCGCAGCATCAGCAGAAGGAGGCGGCCAAGTACAAGCCCGGCTTTAGAGGATGATCGTCGTCAGCGCCGGCATCATCGTCGTCGTCATCATCGAGCGATGGCGACTCGCCGCACGCGTGCCTTGTTGGGCTGTGGACAACACCCACACAAACCAAGACCGAGTGTGGAATGTGAAATAAATAAGACCTAGTTTGTAAAAAGGGGATAGCAGACAGAGAGAAGACGAAGTGGAGGGAAGGAGAGACGAGACGGGAGTGAGGAGAGTCGCCACCGCGGAGCTCAGTTGTTTTGAGAGAACTTGTATCTGGTGGTGGGGAGAAGAAGATGAAGAAGAAGAAAGAGGAGATGAGCCCAACATGTGCGAGAAGGACGATTGCACATATCCTGCCGAGATAGCAACTGGACAGGTGTGGTGGTGGTGAAGGTGGAGATCGGACGGACGTACGCGCATTTGACACACTCGTAGAAGACGGTGGAACCTTCGTCGACGGACCGGAGCTGCATGGTGTAGAAGTACATCTTTCCATGTCCACACTTGGGGCACTTTTCATCGATCTGAGGTGGAGAGCAGCACAGGCAAGGAGTGAGAAGGAGAAGGCGGCCAAGTGTACAAAGAGATGAGCGTACGATGGCTCGGTCATTGGACTTGTCCTCCTCCTTCTTGCCCTTTTGTCGGATGGACGACTTTGGCTTGGCCTTGGTGACGATGACGTGCTCCTCCAGCTCGTCCGCGTTCACGTTGAATCCACACATCCTTTCGAAGCGCATGATCATAGGCAAAATCGCACAAATTCGCCCCCCCCCCCGCAATCGTTCAGATTCTACGCGATTGGGCGAGCGTACTTGCAATTGATTTGAGAATCAGCGGTAAGCGGCAAGAGGCAGCCGCAGTTGTCACAGAAATTGGTCTTGGGCTTGGCCAACGAATTGAAGCTCTTCTCCCATTCCGTCGGTGCTCGCTTATTCTTCTTGGGGTTGGTCCTGGAGGCAGTCCTCACCGCTTCGATCATGACCTCCATATCGTCATCGTCATTCTTTTTCGTTTTCTTTTTTATCTGTTTATCTGTGCTTTTGATCGGGCTCTCCGAGGCCGAAGATGTCTTCGTTCGCTTTTTCGATGCGGACTTCTCCATCCCTCCTTTCGATTGATTGATGAAAATCGCGATTGCCGGAGCGATGGCTGAAAAATAAAGAAAAGAAAAGGAATTGTTGTGAAGTTGTCGACACGTCGTAATCTGTCGGCAGAGATGAAACTTGGTGGGCGAGGGACGGAAGAGCCAACGAAGGTGCCACAGCCACGACGAGGGGACGGCGGTGGCTTGGGCCAAGCTCATCTTGACGAAGAACCACAATTGCGTAACGATTGCCTGCACGCCGTAGGAAGAGACAACAAGCAAGGAGGGCTGTACATACCTACGCCAAAAGGAGAGACAAGGAGGTAGATCGAAGAAAGAAAAGCGATATCCATTTGGATGCAAGATTGATTCGTGGAAGGACACCATCGGCGGCTACTTGTAATTATTGTAAATTTGTCCACAACCACAAGCAACCACTCGATCGCGGAGAAGCAGGCCCGACGACGAAGATAAGATGGGCTCTACAAACTCGAAGAGGCCTGCGGCATCGGAGGAGGTGAAATATCTGTCACCCACAGGACTCTACCCTTCGTGCAATTGGGATCTCAAAACCATTCGCAAGCTCATCATCGAGA